GCGCTGTTGCCCCCAAACAAAGAGTACGTCGTAAAGGAACCGTGAGTGTTTTATGAGTCGTTCGGGGCTTTATTTAACGCGTTCTCATACTGATTTTATACTTCGGTGACCCGGAGTCTCCTGTCCCTTATAGGGCCCGTATGGACTTATTTCTCTAACATTTGTAGCGCAGGCACTTACTAAGTATATAATCGATAATTCTGTTTAACGAGAGACTAGATTCAAAACCTTATTATTTATGTAATAGCTGCAGTCTTACTGCAAGCCTGAAAATAAATACGTCACATCAACGTGCTTCTAAGAAGTTCCATCAGTGAAACAGACACAATAATGTATCTGCGTGATCATAAAGAAATTTTAAATTAAAAAAAATACAGAATAGATCTCTCGTCTATGAAGACCTGTCTGTACTATATCTTATAGATCAGAATCTCCCAAATGGTACGGTTACTATGTTGTATGTCCCTCATCTTGATATTCTCATATCAAGATGAGGGACCCTCCGAGTTATTCCCGGGATTGCAAGTGTTTCCCTGGTTTGACGGCCTATGACACGGTTATGTTTATGGTTGGGGAAAATTTGCCCGGTATTTGCTTAAGTTGATGGCCTTGTACCGGGGTAAATTGTTATTAGTATCCTACCGTATGTTAATATTAAAGTAAGTCGTGTTTTATGAATATGTCCTACTTAAGCGAAAAGCTTATTTGGTAGAAACACGAACGAAACTTTGATTCTTTTCTCATATCCGCTGTATTTTTACGATATATAGCTAGAGTTCGAATCCCGTCTGTGTCTTAAAAACGCAATAGTACAAAAGTTAATTATTCGAGTCCATATAACGAATTAATTTCAACCAATAGGTAAAATAATTTTGCTTCCCTTTTCGCTTCTTTAAGAAACATGTCTAAAACAGGTCTTATAGCGTATTGTAGGCCACTCTCGTCGCTACAAGTCCTGTCACGAAATTTAAAAAAACTCAATAAATCTGTCAACATATTAAATGGATTCAATGTGTCTAATTAATACGCAAACATTAAAGTACATATTATTAAGTGATCTTTATATACGACATTAATCTAAATTTTTTAGGCTTTTGGGTGTTAAATATCGTAATTTTATAAACGGAATGCACTCTCGCTCGTTTAATAACACGCGCAGTAAGACTAGATATTTTAAAGCTTTGACAATTATCTGAATGGGCGATATAAAACGGCTTAGCGCAATAAAATTTTATTATAACCGATTATAATAACACAGAATTTATAGCGTACAAAGATTGTAACACCTTTTACGAGCCGTAAAAAGTTAAAGTATCGAAAAGTACGACCCAAATACACTTAGGAATAATCGCTGGTAAATCGAATAAAGTGACACTCGAGAAAACCGAGTTAAGTTATTTAGAATCGAGTCCCCTGCACTAGTCTGTAATCGAATTGCAGACCGCCACTTCGTTACACTTGAGCCGAGTGTTACTTTGTTAGTCGGTTCGCGAGGGCTGCAAGTGGCTCACACATTATGCAAAAATCTCATTTTTAGTTATACTTATCTAGTCGGATTAAATCTATGGATGTTTTGTTATATTGTGACTGCCAAGAAATATGTCCTTCAAGAAATATATTTATACAACGTTTTTTGGTTTAGCAAAGTATTCTTAAGTTTAGGTAAAAACTAAATAAAACAATTAAAATAAGAAATGGGTAAAATAATGTAATAAAACCCACGTAAGCAACTTAACTAGACCATACTATAACACTTCGCGCAATAAAACCTTAGTGTAAAACTTGATGATATTAGCATTACACGGTGACGTAAATAACGGTCAACGACCTCAATAATAATTAGACAAGCCAACATAGATTGTGATAATCCGATAAGAACTAACCAAAACCTCTTCATCAATATTCATTGTTCGAAGTCATTGTCTATTTTTTTAGCACTTTGCAAAGTATAACTATGGTTCGTTAGTATATTCGTTGGTTGAAATTAAGTTTCTGTAAATAAATTCTTTAGTCCTTACACATTGACAGAACCAACACCAACTATTGTACCAGTTTACTTAACTCAAGTACGTGTCCTACATAATAAAATATTTATTTTATTAAATACGTGTAAGGTTTAACTATGAAAAATACTCCGAAATATATTTTTTTATTAGTAGAATGCAAGGAAATTAACTTAAAAAAACAGTATAAATAATATAAAATGATGTTATATTTAAAATTGGAAGTAATAATTTTTTTTATATTTAATGGCTTGGTAACAAGTCCTTTAAGCCAAGTCTTATGGAAGTAATAAAACCAGTGTTCCAAAGACATTTTTTTTTCATTTAAAGACTTCAAATTTAACAGGTCTTTGAGACGATTAAAAGGCTTAATTTTCCGACTATCAGGGATAGTAGGTATTTTATCGTATCAAATATTAGTAAATCGAATTCGCATCCCACAGACTAATCTGTAGTTTAGCCGAATATTCCATTTCAAGTTTTATTTATGATACATGCGTTAAATTTAATTCGCGTCGGCGACGAAAATTACTGCGCTACGGAAAATTCGATAGTGCAGTGACGGAAAGTAATTATTCGGTGTTGCTGACGCGACTGGAAGCGCTGTGTAATCGACGCTGGCAGCGTCAGTTACAGTTTATGGCGTGACAACGATACTGACCCGCTGGCTTAAACACTGTGCCAAAAGTCAACAGTTAATTTTGAGCTCGTTGTTAACATCTTGCGGCTTTCACTCTTCGATTATTATAATTGGGCGGTGCTGACCAAGCTATGCTCGTGGAGTCGGGAGTTTGGATCTTTGGGGTTGCACCAAAATTATGACCTTGGGAAACTCTGAAGAACAATGTAAAGAAACTAAAACATAATCAAGGCGATACATTTAAGCTTAATATTTGTATTGGCTAGAGTATAGAATTCTTAGTCTAATTTTGTAAACAGGACTACTCCAGGAACTTACTACTTTTGTAGGTAAATTTCTCGTAATTATTCAATTGTATAAAACTAGGTTATTCATGCTATGTAAACAAGCCCCAAAAAACAGTATTTCTTGTTTAGATTCTTGTTAGAAATTGTCAGTTTCATGCCGTGTATCGTTCACTTATGTGGTAAAGTTTTAATTTTTATATTTTACATAATTTAAGACTAGAGTAGTATTGTTTCATATTTGTTAACATTAAATTCTCTTACTGATTCATGCCAATTACCTGTTTTATTTTTGTGCGAGATAAACCTAAAGGTCTAAATAAATGTAAAACTATTGTAGCCGTTGTTCCACACTGTGCTCGTTTACCTATATAGAATTTTCTTTCAAATACGATTTACGTCAGACACCACTGTGGACATTTTGACAGCCTGCGAGGACTTTCACTATACGTGCGTCAGCTGAAATTAATTAACATTCAAACCAACTATGACGTTTTGGCATCGTCCCGCATAGAAAAACTCAAAGTATTGAAAATAGTAACAAATAACTAATGATATAGTGTTAATGTATGCCGTGTGAAAACGTCGTCGTTTTAATTAATGTTTGTCTCGAAGCATTTTTAAGCTTTTGTTTTGATTAATGGCTGAATTGTGTCAAACTTTCGTTCAGATATAACATGTTGTGGATTGAAATCTTTTCTTTTCATAGCGATGATCCGTAAAGGTCTCGTGTGACATTGTTAAGTGATAAGATTATTTTAAAAGTATATGGAATGTTTTCTTCCGTCTCAAGGTAAGAAAAATAAAACAATGTACAAACACGAGTAAGCCAGCTCCTGCCTGACACACATATAAGAAAACGTCTTGTTTGATTTCACGTGGAAAGATCCAGCGGTTATCTATTAAGCAAACTTAGTCTATGCTCCATCTGATCTAGCCAACATCCGGCCTTATCTAATCTATGGTCACTGTTTGAGATACACCGAGATACACGCCACTGTAAAAAACAGCAACATTTAAAATTGGAAGCCGTATTTATTCACTGCAAATATCAATAGCATAGATTACACTGGCGCCATGTTGACGTTCTGTATTCAAAATTTAAAAAAGAAATGTCGAGAGAGGCGGTTCTGTCATATTTATTTTTAACTTTATCGCGTGGGTCACTTTTTTCCATAATAAAAGGACATGGATTACGAGTTGCCACAGAGTCTAAATGTTTTTCTAAATGTCACCGATGACAGCTAACAGTGATGTGCAAGTAGTACCGTTCTGATCGTTTTGACACGATTATTTACTTTCAAGTATTGTCACTAGAGATTTGTGTAGCCCATCGACTCTTCGAGTGGTTTTAAACAAACACCATTGAGTCGAGAACAGAGACCTCTTATGCACCCTCGTAAGCAAATAACGTTTATTTATTTAGAAAAATACTAATCTACGACTTAAGAGTTATCATTGCATCCGCTACGTGTAACAAATATTAGGCTTTCTCACGGTAGCGAAAGAGAAATAATATTTGAGAAATTTAAATTAGTAGCAGAAATCAAATAAGACTTGCGACTATACTTTTACCTGCTTATTTAATTTGTATCGTAAAATTTGTACAGTGAATATTTTCTTACGAATTATAAGGCATGTCCTTTGATGCTAAAAACTTTTATGACAGGTAAGTCAGAGTAAACTTCATCAGAGAAACCGCTATTTCACAAGGAGAATTACAGTGAATGCCAAGTGTTTGTTCTGACATTATCTAGCGATTAGCCCAGATGACACACGAGCTTCAGTTTTGTTTCGTAAATGTTTACTGTGTTATGTGCTTTTAATAATCTGTACGTAACCATGGTCTAGGGTTGCTTCATTCGAATATTTTTAGTTACTGAGATTCATTTATGCATTATAACAATTACCAGGAAAGTAGAACTACGTTAAAAGTTTATTTAATCTCGCGTATAGGTGTGTATTATTACCGGGAACGAGTGCATTTGTAATTCATAGAAGCCTGGTATTCTTACTTTTGAATACTCCTGGTACAGTAAGTAAACTCGGATAAATATATAACTCCTTGATCAATTAATTCACACTAGCGATACGCCTAGGAGTACTAGGCGTCCATAAGTCAGCAGGCGTTAATAAAGACGCTGGCACATCGCATGTCCATGGTAAAACGCTGGGCGTATCGACCCCGCCCCGGCGGCTTTTAGCGGACTTCGGTTTACTGCATTCGCGTTTTATGACTCCCTTGTATTGTTGCCAACGAATTAGTGTAGACAATCGCGTGTTTACTTCTGTGAAATGACCCCTCCTTACATTTCGTATCATTGCTGCTGACCTTTCAGAAGTGGTCGGCATTTTTAATTATTTTTCAGGTTTTGCTTTACGAACGTACTTTTTGCCCGGAAACAATTACAGGAGAATTCTGTAAACTTATTTCCCGCAACGAAAAACACGTTAAAATTTAATCGATCACAGACCGTTGCTTGTTTGCCCCATTAAAAACGGCACAGCCCCATTCACACCATATGGAAAACTACTTTTTAACGACATAACGCGGCAAAGGTGCGAACCGATCCTATTGTCTCGAAGGCGCCAAAATCCTACCCCAAAATAATTGGTCACTGCACGCGAACTGTCTATCAAACGTATGGGTGGGGTATGGACCCCCGGTACTCACGCGACGTCAATACGTAATTATTTCATTATTCTTCTATTAACTCTACTCTCGTGGCGATTTATTCTGCGCCCTCGAGTTTTGCCGTGTTTGCGAAGAACAATTATTGGAGCTATTCGATTGTTCTGTCCACTTTTCCATTTTCCCTGAGAGGTGTAACATCTGCGGTTATTGTATGCACTTGTGAAAACTGCTACGTAAGAGAAACACTGTTATTTATAGGTTCTAGTTTGTCTATTTCAAATATACCTTATCTTTTATATATCATAAAACAACGGATGATGGCACTATATGAAATAAAAAGTCGGCTTTAGATTGAAAAATTACATTGCGCTAAAGGCATACTAGGTTGAAAAAAATCGGCGATACGGACGGTCACGGTAGCTCAGTTGGTTACAGCACGGAACGCCATGGAAGCCGGTTCAGGTCCTGCTCTTGGTGTAAAATTGTTCAATCTAAAATCGATTTTTAACTTTCACCTTTGTATAATTTCTCAATTTATATAAAACATTGTTTTTAAGTAGTTACTATCTTAATTCACTTTAAAGGTATAAGTTTTGTACCTGCGGTTAAAGTAAATTAGTGCTAAGTAAACATTGATGTAACAATACATGGAAGCACGCACTATTTATTATTAAAACGATATCAAAGCACGCTTCCGAGAATGCGAGTCTTTGTACCCTCTTTAGATACAGTACTGTTTATTCCAATCGAAATTAGTGGAAATGTTGCCAGCTAATTCGCTTCTAATGAATACATTACGGAAATTAGACATTCGAGTTTCGTTCTTTATTTAAATAGATTAAGGGAAACAATATATAACCTTAATTAAATAATACATATAACCTTATTATTATGAATACATTGACATAAAATTAAAAAAAAAATGATTCAAAAACTTCCGTAAGTTAAAGCCTACTTCCCAAATTACTATAGCAAGTATGGACAATATTATTAAATACAAAAAAAATGTATATAAATATCTTCGAAAAATACCACATAAAATAATGTTTTACTAAATTTACGTATATCGCAGTCATATATTTTAAAAACTCTCACTTCATATAATCTATGTATTTAAATAATCATTATTAAAAAACTTGGGGGTTTTAATAATAAAATGTCTACATAACATAAGGGTGCGCTATGAAGATTCATGCAACTGCAGTGGAAAGGTGAACATAAACACCAGATACCTCACTTCTAGTAATCAAAGCACCGCTCCACATTCGCGCCAAGTTGATTTATGTAAACGTAAACTTGCACATGCATTCAGGCATTGTCCCGAACACATAAAATAATATAATAATGAAGTAATCGCCCTCGAGAATGGTCCCTCACAATGGTTTCGTTAATTGTGCCCTTTGTGCGACCGAATAGAAAATTTTCATGTTCAACCGCGAGCAGAAACGGTCCTTTTATTGCGCCTGAGTTTCATGTAAATCACATGGCTTTGTAACTGAAACGTCAAGATTAACGAACTTATTCGAACGGCTTTAAAAGGAGCTTTTAATTGACAGTCTTGCTTTAAAAATATAAATTTTAAAGAATTCAAACGCGATATTTTGTTTAGACTAGACTATTTCGGTATATTGTTATAACTGTTAGAATGGATTGACATTTGTGACAGCTAATAAGTATACGACGTGTCTAAGAATTGTCTGTGCCTGTATGTCTATGGCAACGCAGAGTAACGTAATTGTTCTAAATTTAAATTCGCTTCAGACAGCAATTCCTAGGAACCGCGGAATTCGGCATGGCGCCTTTGATAATGCGTTTAGCGTTGCCTGGAACCGCGTGTTTGTTTGTCGGGCTGTAAACTGTATCGTAAACGGTCGTGTGTGGCCAGCCCTTACGACGAAATCTGAACAGATGTACGAAGATCAAAAGAGTTGCCAGCGATAAAAAAGTTAATGTGTAAGTAACAACTCAGTACTAGAGAACTGTTAGCCGTGTGTTGTCTGTTTTTCTTTCTCGTTACACGCCATATATTCTCCCTCAACGCGAGGGGAAAATCACCCATTTTCCAGGTATTTTCCGAGCCATATTGGTGGGATTTGTTTGATTTGCCTTGCGATCTTCGATTGCCTTTAAACACTATACGAGACGTTATAATTACATAACATTCTTATTACAGACAAGTAAATAAAAATTATGATGATTATTTTTCGTAAAATAGTAATCAAGTGTTAATTGATATTGACTGAAATTACTGCACCTAGTGAGCCACCGGAATATTGTGTATTACAGTTATGTAGCTAATATCCTTGCAATTCCGAGGCAATTATAACTTTCAAATGTTTCATTATCAGTCGTCTAGCCGTTCCGTTATTAACCGGGATTACGGGGTATTCGAATCCCGGATATAGGGATTTGCTCCGGGATTCGGGGCCGGGGAATGATAACAGATACGGCGGAGTACGTGGGATCTTTTGATACCTTTCACTGTAGCTTGAGTTATGGCGCTGTTTTAAATGTATTTTGGTACGGTATAAATTAGAACGTCCCTGAGATAAAAATTATATTTAAAACAAATACAAAGGAAAATTACATTTTTATATGTAAAGTTTAACTTATTAATTGCTTACTTTAAAGTTGTGTAAAAAATGTCTTTTATATATGATAAGTAGGAATTTATAGAGAGCTCTGAAAATATCAAAAGAACAGCCCTGAAGCAGATTGATAGTCGCGATCCAGAAATGCATTTTCAGTGCCAGTTGTGCTGTCAGTACATTTGGGGGGGACCGAAAATAGCTTGAAGGACCAAATCCCAAAGGGAAAAATAATGAACAAGGCATGTCCCAGGATAGCATAAGCTAGGCGTAGGCCGATATCAGAGTTACAAGCGATCGCACTTAACCGTCACCGTATCGTTGCTGCAGCGCTATCAGTCAGCGTCGTTCGGAGCATTAGCGCTGTCGCCGCTTGATAATTTATAGGACACCTCCGCGCTCATACGGGCCTGGTACATCAATTGATTGTGGTGTGATTAAATTTTTATTTTTGATAGCTTAATGGACTTTACTTAACTTCTGTTTATCTTGTAAACATAGTTTAAACTACGATCTACTCGTATGTTGTGTTTTATCACTTCTTCTGTTGTTGTTGTTTCTTTGGGAGAAACATGTGGTAATGCTCAGCGTACAGAAATTTTAAGAGAACTATGATAAACTTAATCGCCTCTGTAGCTAAATGGTTACATGTTGTCTAGTATTGCGTTAAGTGGGAGATCCTAGGTTTGAATCACCGGGAAACAATAGTTTGTTTCAGTTGGATGAACTACTTGCTTTTAAATCAGTGAAACGGACACATAAATGTGTTAGATATCTTCTTCTGACTAAGAAAACACTTTAGGAAGTATGTCCTAGAAGTCAACGGTAAATAAGTATATATCATTTCTTAACTGAGATATAGCCGTAGAAAGGTCTGAAATCAATCAATAAAAAATGCCAAAACTGTTCAACTCTAATCATTTATAAAAGAAAGAAATGTGCCAAGCTGAACAATCTTCGTCCGCTCCTAATCCGTTTTTGCCTCAAAAATGTATGCCGCGTTTATCAGAATCACGAGCGTCTTGAATCCCATTCAGTTCTCGAAGTTTCGAAGTCCAGGCACAGATTATAAATACCCAGTTCCCTTTGCACCGTTACATTCCACCTGAACTTGTTGAAATTGTCAAACTGAGCTCATGGCGTATAAATAGACCCCCTATAATTCGCGATTACGACCCGTACGCGATGGCGATAAGGCTCAAAATCGTGATAAGACGAATATTATTGTATATAAGCTTATTAAGAACGAATCCCACTGGCGAACACGCAACACTTACTGCTCGGGTTATATGGAGGCAAAATTAATCTAGTGCATAAGTCATGACTCATGGTTTTTATCAAGTGATTATTTTTTTTTGTGCAAATCCAACAAAAATTCATTGAGTAGAGCGATAGAGCGACAATAACAGTGAACAAATTAGTACAGTAATGCGTTAAAAAAAATTGAACTTTATTTATTTCACCAAGCTGCGTTGTATATTGTTAAATACTTAACACACCAATTACAAGTTTTAATCCCACCAGTCTTTTTGAAGCGCCATTGCAAGAACGCAGAGCTATAATATTCATATAATTTATTTATACCTATATATTAATGACACCTTAAGTTTATTTAAAACGTGATCTTAAAATGAGATCCATAAAAACGTGATGAAAGAACCCGCGCCATGTAAGCCGGGCCATCAGTAAGTGGAATCATACGTACATTTCCAAGTATGGCCGCGTCACAAGGTCCGATGCAACTGAGAACGGTTAGTTTTATTCTAAACAGCACTCAAACTGGAGTTTAAAGCTGGTTTATATATACGTTTAAGAAAATTGACATCTCCTTAAAAATAGTTTCAAAATAACGTTAAATAAAGTCATAGTCTTAGTAGATTTAGTAGTTTAGTAGAGACAATTAAGTTCATTTTTAGGATATAGTGACTATATTAATACCTCAATTTGTTACCAGACTTAAGAATCATAAATAATAAAGAATTAAAAATCACCATATTAAAAATTACGATTGTTTTATATCTTAAAATTTTTGGCTATTTCGGCAGTGGAAACTACATGTACTACAACTATTTTTGTAATTTAACGGTCTGTTAAGAGTTAATCGTAATCGCGCTGTTAATGCACTTTGC